ATATATATATAAATATATACATTTTTTATTAAATTATTTAAAAATTATGTCTAAATTGACGAATAAATGCAATTGTTAAAAGTGTTTTAAATTGTTAAAGAAAAAGTCCAAAATGCATATCAAAATGCTTGAAATTTTTTAAATTCTTTTATATACTTTTATATACTTTTATATACTTTTTTATATACTTGACACATTATGTCTAGTTGACATAAATTATCTATAATCACGTCTTGGCTCTTATAAGGATCTCTTTATTATTATCTTTTTTTCTTTTTTTTTTTACTTGTCGCAAGAAATAAAGCGAGCTGCTCATATTCAGCAGTCGGATGTCAATTATAAAATTTCGGCGACTTTTCCCGCGAAGTTGAAGTAGTAGCGGCGCGATCGTCCCTTCGAGCGGCATACCTATGCGATTATGCGCGTAACGAAAGAGATCTTGAAGCGAATATGCTAATGCGCGCGGCGGCATAATGCGAGGCCGATTCGCCGTGGCAAAGCCAATTATAGCGCGCAGACCCATCGTGCCCGGATACTCCGTTTTGCACATAGGTTGTCCCCGAAAAATCTCGCTCTTTCTCTGTTTCTCTCGACACAATTGTACAAACGTGAACGGCGAACGAGACGAGAGAAGGAACGAGAGAAGAGGGCCGCATAGACAACGCCATAGGCGGAGGCCTGCATCGGTGGCCATTGTTCGAAAGCGCTATTTGTATTTATTTGGGTTCTTTGTTCGAGCCTCGAGAGATTCATGGGGCGGAAGGTGGGGCGAGAGGGTGTGAGAGAGATGAATTTATTCGGTGAACAAGGCAAAGGGTGAGAGAGGTCCACTAGTCGTTATGGAACTACTCTACGTTTCGGTTGAAAAAAAAAAAAAAACGCGGCGCGAGAGAGACAGCAAGCTTCGGCCTGTATTATCAGTACATTTACACCGCGACATACATAGCTAGAAGAGAAAGATTAATCGGGAAACAAATTATTTATTTCTTTCTCTTTTTACATAGTATAGTAGTTTATAATTTCAATTATGACATTTTTAGCATCATAGCCTTATTTAATATTGTGTGACTTGATTATATTCCTGTAGTCTCACTGTATAGTCTGAATAATGTAAGCTGTCCTATAATTATCACCGTCATTTTTATACACAAGTTCTTTTAAAAAATTAATAAAAAATTAATAAATTGATGAAATCTTTGTGCATGAAAGAGCGATAATTACAGGCGACATCTCTTGAAACATCATATATAATGGTATCGTTACATGAAGTTATAAAAGCACAAGTAAAGACCACAAAGTACTTGTTTTGTAAAGAACTAAGTTAAAATTATGGCAAGTTGTTGCAGCATGATTGCAAGTATGATAAAAGTAAAACAGCAATTAATCATATGTGTAGAGAGAACCATTGTTTATGTCAAAAGCGACACTTTCAATCGACATAATCTTTTTCTAACATCAATGCTAGAACAACTTTTAATGAATCGATTTTATCGAAAATCTTGATATGGGGTTTGCATTTTTATAACGGTTTAATTATATTTCTGCCGCACAATTGCATCGTTCTATAATTTTCATAACGTTCGATCGAGAACAAGTTTTGAGAGCAAACTTCGCATGTGGTCGAAGGTGGGCCGACCGGATTCGAACATCCAATTGCGAAAATGCGTTCGCCCCGTCGCCCGTCGGTGGGGAAACTTCGCGTGCTCGTTGGTGTAGTGTGCGACGAGATGGTCCGATGTGTGATGCGTGCGTGTGTGTGTGTGTGTGTGTGTGTGTGTGTGTGTGTGTGTGTGTATGTGTGTGTGTGAATGCATCTCGTGCAGCGGATGCAACTGCGAGTGGTCAGTAGCTCGCAAACCGAGTGACCGCTTCGTGCCTCTCGCTGTGTCCCGGTGTGAAAGTGATGCGCGAGGGGGGGAAAAAAAAAAGTAAACTCTCTCGTCGCGTCATAAACTTTTTAAATTGCATTTTGCTCGAAATGTTTCTCGGGTAAAAATTCATCAGTGACAGATGGACCTTTTGAATGTACAGATGTGAAAATAACCAGTCTACGCGTGAGTTCGCAAACGAAGTGTTATGATACAGAT